CCACCGGCTGAAGGAGCTGCCTGCAGCTCTCGGTCAGGACTGAAGGTGTCCTCAACAGGAAACACACGTTGTTCTGAGGTGTTATGGAGGGAAACTGCTGTCTGACTCTCTGAAACATGACTAACGCCTGACTCACAGGAAGTCTCAGCCCTTTGTTCATCACCTATGCAAATCTCTCTCTGCCCTTCTCCTGTTGTACATGGTTTGTACCTGGGCCCTTCTACAAAAAATTCTCTTAAAAATGGATCCCCAGAAAAGGGAGGGAGTGCCGGTTCTTGGTTCTCTACTTCTGTCAGTTGGCCTGTATTCTGGGGTGCATTCTTGTATGTTATGGTTTCAGGAGTCTTAATGAAATGAGGCAGTTGCATCACAGAACTGTATTTCTGTGCAGTAGAATCAACTTGAAAATCTTGACAGTCATCATTTTTTGAAAGATGGCAACTGTCAGGATTAGTGTCATTTTGTGCAGTCAGGTCTGAGTGATTTCCTTTTTCTTGTAAACCTTCTTCATAGTTTTTACGTATGGTATTATGAGAGAAATGCTCTTCATGTGCAAATTGACTGGTATTTTCACTGAGGAAAATGTTTTTCTCTTCAGGGACATAAGCCAGTTCTTGTCTTGCTGGGTAACAGTCTCTAGAATGACCCTCTTTAGAAGTTACAGACTCATTTATCAGGGATATGTTGTGCTCACTATGAAATAATTGTCCAGTTGTCCCATGGGACTTATCTGACACATAAGGGGGGTTTTCTGTGTCACATCCTAAATTATGACTCTGAGCACTTTTTATCTCATCACATAATTGGGAAGAACGACTGGTGGTAAGCTTTCCTTCCCAAGCAACAGTCATCTGAATGGAGCCATTATTGTCAGTCAACGTTTGATTTGGCTTCTGCTGCAAGCACTCCCCTGTATTTAACATGATACCATTTGCTGAGACACAAATGGATGGTGTTTCCATTTTATTTCCAGTGCTAGAATCTAGACATACACCATCTGTTTCCACCACTTGTGCAAGACAAATGTTTCCTATAGATGCTCTGCTACATGTTTCATCTCTTGTAAGTAGCATACTAGAAACATTGCAGTCTTCCTTCTCTGTTTGTTGTCTACTAGCCGGTTGTGTAATGGGTTCCTGCTCCTCTACCACGTTTACTGGCAAAAGATGACCAGAACAGGTCTCCTGTGCAAGGTTCAGTTCTGTGACTGTGATACCTGCCGGCCTCACTTCTAAACTTGTGATCCTCTGGTTTTCAAATGGGATTTGATAGTCTGAGTCATCTTCATTAAGAAGTTTCCACAGCTTGTCATGCACTGCAGATACATCAGCATCTCCTTTGCACCCAGGTTCTCCAGATTCCAGGACTGACTTGGAATAAGCTCCAAATGGAGATTCATCACATGACAGACTGAGGAGAATATCTGTGTTGCTGCTGTTGTGTGAGTCAAAACTATATGTTTGCTCTGCCTCCCTTGGCTCATCACACAGCTCTGCAGAAGAGGGAACAGCACATAAACGTTCCTGTCTGTCAGGGACCAAGTCTGTATCCCACAAAGGACAAGGTGAAACATCGCTCTTAGATTTGTTGTCACTACTAACAGTATTAGTTCTTTGTTCACAGAAGACTTGTTGGTGACAGCTTTCTCTCTTATCACAAGGACCATAGTGGTGAGAACAAGTCTGTAAATTCACCTTTTTTGCTTGCAATGTCTTTCCAGTACAGAGCATTTCTGAAGCTGGATGGGTGGTTCCCGCACTCTCACGAGTCCTGAAGACACCTTCCTTTTCTATTTCGGGCTCCACACATAGCCTCTCACAATTCTGGGCAAATGTCTTAAGATTAGCACCTTGATTCTACAAAGAAGAAAAAAGAGAAAAGTAATTAAAAAATAGAATTCCTGCTTGACACAGTCCTGAACTAGATTTCTGGCTCGAAATGTACCTATTGATTTATTTATTTTAAAATATTTGTCAACAGTCAAGTTTCTGACTTCTAGCTGTCTACTCAATGGATAGAAATCAAACTCCTGGGTCTTAATAGCCTTGAACCCTGGTGAGTTTCAGATCAGGATCCAAATGCTGAGAAACATAAAATTTAATCAAGATGAAGATCAATGACTGATATAGTCCAGCTAGATGAAAACAGATATAATAAACCAAACCAAACTAAAATGACCCCGTCGTATCTATACCTTCTGCTAACAGCTAGAGTGTCCCATCACACTTATGGAACTATTACACAATCCAAACTGATGAGTTTCTGGAACTCCCAGATGAGTTTCTCAGGAGTTTGCCTTCTCCTTTGCTGCCACCACAGGCATTGTTATCTTAAGTTTCACAAAGATTCGTTCTTAATCTGTATCAGTCTTGAAATGTTTCAGAGAAGGCACTCCAGGCCTGCCGCGCTGTGTACTTCAGAACAAGACTCCTACCAAAAACCAAACACCTCTAGGTCAGTTTTAAGCCATGTTCGAAATCTGTCTTGGGTCACCTCCGACGTCTTGAGGCGACAAGTCCCTCTTCAAAAGGGAGTGCCAGAAAGCATCCCAGATCTTGCCTCTGTCCAGGTGGTAATGACCTGTTCCATTTAAGGCATGTTCAGCCCTCCTCTAGCAATGACACATGCATTGCAACCATGGTGGTACTGCTGGGAAAACTAGGGCAGGAAATAAAAATCCGTATTCCTCCTGCATCTCCTTTATTCTTCTATATCAAAATATTCCAAATTGTCACTTTTTGTAGAAACAATCCACTCCTCAATTAAACTAAGCCAGACTAAGTTTAATTTATGCAAGGAATACAGACCTCATAAAAGAGAACAAGTGGCTGATACTTGGGCTTGCAAGATATGGCAAAAGTGCTGCCATCTGCCTGGCATACAGTATCTGCTAAACTGTTAACCATTCCCCTCAGAACTGGGCTGTCACTGAGCTTAAGCTCTTGCTCCAGAGTCCCTGCCAAGCTTTTGCTCTCAAAGATTTTCCCTTGTCCCCTTCAGCACTAAATCAGTCCCATGGAGGCAGTGAGCATGTTTCACCCACAGCAAGTCACAGATGGAGAAGCCTACAATTTTTTACTGGACAAAATTACATAGTCCTCTAAGCAAATTATGCTTTTGGTTACCATTCATTTGTCAGAACAATCTGTAAGAGTAGAGAGCAATTTAGCAGTCAGTCTTTGAAAACAAAACATTTACTTCCAAATAGCCAGGATATAACAACACGGACCTCATGAATTAGTTTGTACGTTTGTCTGAAGCTAAGTATCTACTCCCAGCAGAAATGAAGAGATGTTAAAAACCATCAGACTGAGTAGCTTTTATTCAGACACAAACTCAACTTCATAACTGTTTTGGTTTGGTTTTTTTTTATTTTCCTTGTGAGTCCCAGTTCCAACCATAGGTATTTGTGAACTTGCAGTGATATACTGGATGGCTGAAATGAACACCTACGACACACAATGGGCGAGGCCTCTGGGTTCCAGCAGAGCTGCAAACATGCAACAAGAGGTGCCAGACACATGTAACGCAGAGCTCAGTGAAGGATATGTAATGAAGGATTTCCCATGAGCTGCTCTGAGCTCAGGCAGAGACAGGGGCTGCTCAGACACTAAGTTCTTACTTTCCATAAGTTCATGGTAAAAGGATTACCGGCTGTAGTAAATATTGCTTTCCTTTGCTGCAAAAGCCACCCACTCCAGCTGCAACTCCTTTCATCCTTTCTGTCTCTCCATTCAGCTTGAGTAGGATGTGGAGCTGACTACATGCTGTGGACAATGGGGAAGGAAGAGATATAGAAAACTTTTGTCAATGACTTTCACTTCTGTCCCCACCCCAAGCACCACGCGGCTGTGACCACGCTGCCTTCAAAGCTCCTTGCCCAGAGCACACTTACCTAGGAACCTCAGCTGGACAGCTGCAGTCCCCTCTGGCTCCCAGTGCCTTGGTCACCCACTCAAGGCTGCTTGCCCTGCACGAGAAGATGCCAGTCTCTAGGTCTTTGAGTTTAGACATACACTTTTGCCCAGGTCCAGGGGGATGTGAGCCTGGATGTGTCTCTGCACTAGGTTCCAGTTCTCAGTCAGTTGGTCTGACTCACACGGTCTGAACCTCGTGCTCCTTTTGCCACTTCCACTTCCTCTCAAACCTCTGGAAAGCAGAGTTTATTTTTCTATCCCTTACAGCCACAGCAGCCTCAATCACAGCTGCTACGAATACCTGTGGAGTTCTTGCAAAATATGATAGAAATATGATCAGCCAGTCCCTACCTGCTGCTGGTGTGGAACTGAAAACAGACAGCTCCCTTGTGCCGAGGGGAAAGGGCATTGGCTGTTTCAGCTAGCCTGTGTGCCTGCCCACGTTGGCACCTCTGTCTCAGGCTGCACTTGCAGGCTCGCAGCGCTGCAGACGCACTGTGCCAGCTGGGTGCCAAACAGGAGCCCAGAGGAGGGCTCGTAACCAGTGCCTGGTCCCGCCCGCCACAAAGCGGCTCTGCACGCAGGACGCAGTCTGGAGCCTCACAGGGGCAGGCTTCTGGTCTGTTTATTTGTTATTTAGCCTACGTATGTGCTCCTACGGTATGTGGTCATCAGCTCCATGGCCTTTTTGTTTGAAGGTACTTGCATCCAAATCCTTTAGGCATGCTTCAGGAAACCTTGCTGGCTTTAACTCTGGTATCTTCTTCACTTAGATTTGTTTCAGCTAACACAGTCCTAGAACTACTCATGTTAATTTGGATTTTTGTTCCCTGTGTTCTCATAGAAGATTTCTAGGGTTTAATGTCCCACATCTTAACTATTGCTTCAATTACTGGACAGTCTGCTCGACTCCAGGTGTGAGAAAAGAATGGTAACAAACTAGAGTATTTAATTATGTGACTGCAATAGAACAAGATATTTTAACTAGTGCATGTGTAACAATCTTCCTGGTGTGTGACGAGAGAAAGATGAAATCATAGTTGTGTATTTAAACTCATACACGAAATAGAGTCCCCACACTTCCATCACAAAGCCCCGGGTTCTGTGAATACAGGAGGGACAAGCAGGTAAGGTTGTTACCTAGTAGCTATGTAACAGGAAAATGGGAGCGCCCACTTCAAACGCAGAGCCACCTTCTCCATCTGTTTGAAATCACCACGTAATGAGGACCCTTCCTTGGATCTGTTGCTCCACTAACAAGAACCATTTTGTTCCAAAGCCTGACAGGAATATTTAAATGAAAAGCAAATAAAGGCCATAGGGAGTGAGCACTTCTGTCACCTCTGCTCCCCTTGCCATGCCTGAGAAATGGACCATCTTCACCCAACATGACAAAGTTTCCTTCTGAACTGAGTGACAAACTGCCACATTCACATCCAGATAAACTGAGGAGGTGTGAGTTAAGGCTATTCTGGTTCTCTTTCCCCTACAAAATGTAAGGATAATTTATACATCAGCCTTTCACCTGATCAGCTGAACCATTTCTGTTAATGAAAGCAAGAAGTTCATCTCTGAAATGAGGTGATTAATTTTATCTCATGGTTTCTCAGTGTTTTTTAACAGGATATAGTTTAGCAAGGTAATTCTCCCCTGTAAATGAAGTCTCCAAGTGACATTTCTGCCTCTTGGTTTGTACAAAGGGAGGGTAACAAACCATCCTTAGAACACAGACAACAGGTACATCGCAGCCTCTGGACCAGAGCTCCTTCAAACCCACCCTGTTTGGAACTGGTTTGAGCTTACACTGTTCTCCAGCAGCAGTTTAGTGGGTCCTTCTCTTTCCTACTTCCATGCAATGCCACTCAAACTTCTCCTTCCTAAAATACCACTCTGCTTTAAATGGCACACCTGCCTTGGACTCGCCACAACACCTCAACCCTTCCAGTCATTTCAGCTGTTTTAGGCAGGCAAGCCAGGCACCCTGCCCTGCAGGCGCTGACTGCCGGGCACGCTCTGCCAGCAGCCTGCTACCCCTGCCCAACAGCCAGAAGGAGAGGAAGTTCAGTAAGACCTGGAGTGTTTCAAAGAAGAGAAAGCAAATTTTCTGCCTGTGACCACACAGAGCAATGGGCTGCCCAGGCACAACCAGCATGTGTCTGTGCTTCCTCTCTCCTGGGGAACAGATTCAGGCAAACTGTTTTTTCAAAATTCCAGCAAAAGAATTGTAAGTGGTGGCAAGTTGCCCCAAGAGAGAGCAAGAATGTATGTCTCTTACAAAAATTGCAACCAACTGGATTTTTTTTCTCAGATAACCAGAAAACCTTCCTTTTTTTCCAGCAATCACTCACTCAAAAGAGGCAAGAGGCAGAGATGTACTTTAAAAATATTTGAATGAAAAATGAAACAACTAGAAGCTGATTGAAAATGATGTGTTGGGCATGCACAGTAATCCTTACTCACTACTGGTTTGGAACAGAAGTTTTCACCCACTTTGTATTAAAGCCAGCCATTAAACCTGTCCCCATCCAACAGCTGTTTATTGGCCTATGTGAAACCACTTGCTGGGTTGCAGTCTTACCCCTCGTGGGCAGAGCTGACCTGTTGAAACTGTTCTGGCACCCCTTCAAACATTTTCCTTTTGTTCTTCCTTCGTTGTGTAGCCCAGGTCCTTCCTCCCTTCTTACACTTCCACCCTTTTCCCACATCCTTTGGCACGTGGCTCCCAGCACATCCCCCTCCCACCCAGCACAGTGTCGGAGTGCAGTGCGCACAACTAGCACCTACGTTTCTGTGCTCACCACAGAGCAGCAAGCTCTGAACTTGAGTGCCCCAGCAATGAAACACTCTAAATCACAGTTGTCCATTCCACACCCCACACAACAGCAGATAGATGCCTTCTTAACATAGTGAACAGGGCCAGTAGCCCAAGAGATCAACAGTTTCATTGGTCTGTGCAGTCCTTCCAATTCTGGCTACCCTGGAATCTAGCAAAGCAGAGGTATTACATGCTAGACAAAACAGTTTTTGTGCACAACCAAATTATCCAATTACTTGGAAGTTCTGTGTCCGTTCTGCTTCTCTCCTTTCTGTACAATAAAATGTAAAATTGTCTCTCAAATTTTATGAGAACAGGCTGTTCTGACATGAGCAAAACCAAAATAACAGCAGACTGAGCAGTAGATCTAATTGGCCAGAAAAACCCAAGTTCTAGGAATACACACCAGCACCACACGCCACTCTTCCCGGGGTATCGGCGCCAACATCGCGGGCTTTGGTCATGCCCTGGAACCCCTCTGAACCTGCCGTGTCCAGCAGGGCTTCCCCACCACCGCTGGCAGTCAGCAGGCCACAGCCACGGGCTCTGCAGATCAGGAGAGACCCCAGCGCCTCGTGCGGAGGGTGCTGGCTGAACGCTGGCAAGAGACCAGCTCTTGAATGACACACTGCAACCTTGCAGCCTCCTGGCTCTCTGTACTGTATGTAACATCATACAGCTGGCAGTGTTGGCTTTTAGGACCTTTAATTAAGCTGCTTTGAGGCACTAGCTATATAAAGAATTTCACCTGGGGCTGGACCAGGAATGAGGTCATGAGGGGAGCCAGGAGCCTCCCACTTTGACCATCGAGTGGAAGGAGAAGTCACCCACAACAGCAGTTGCTGCACAAGAAAGAGTGCAAGGATTGTCCCAGTCAGAGGCAACTGGGCAGCGAGGGGAGGCGTGGAGCCCTGGGGAGCTGGTGCAGTGCTCTGGGTGCTGAGCAGCGCCGGCCCCGCACGGAGAGGGAGCACACAGCACACCCCAACAGCTGCCCCCCCTCCCTCCCCATGCTCCCAGCAGAGCTGCCCCACACGCTGGACTCCAGCTCGTGCCAGGGAGCACTCTCACAGGGCCCTGCCTGCCGCTGATTCTCTCCTGCCTTTCTTAGGCTACACAAGCAGACTGCTGACGGGCTTCTGGCTTGCTAAACGGGAGCTCTGAGAAGCTGTCCACCTTTTCCTTCTGCTACGAAGACTACCTTCCAGATGGGATGCTTTTGTCTGGCTTATTTTCAAGACCATACTATTTTGAACCTACAGCTAAATTCCATCTGCACTCATGTGTGTTTAAAACCAGGGGTTTGGTTTGTGCCCATCTCTTAGCCCTTTTACGTACACCAATACTTATTTCCTATTTGACTTCTATCTAATGTGAGGTTTTGGCCATGGACACACAAAGAGAAGAAATACACAGTCACTGCAGGTAGCAAATTTGGCCAGAAACCTTAGCTCTTTGCTAAGAGGCTTCTGGTATTTACATTATTGCACTGCACTTGAAAAGAGAAGGAAACAACGCCTCTCGCAAACCGTGGTAATACACAGCCCAGAAGTTCAGCAGGGTCCTTCCAACAGGGGGCATTCCCCAGCAGAAGACATGAGGTGCTGCTGAAACGTGATGGGAATTTTGTGTACTATAAAAATAGAGAAACACATGGATGCTTTTCAGGCAGAAGAATTCCGTGAGACTTGACTGCTGAAGACACTACAATGGTGATACTGGGAGCAGTCTACTCCCCAGAACCAGCAAGCCTTTTGTTCTAAATAATAGACATGAAGAAAAGCATGTGGAAATGGAAAAAGCCTGTGGTTATTGGTCTTTTTTTTTTTTCCTTTGCAATTAGCTACACACCTTCAAATGAGTGAAGTCAGTGATAATAAGATTATTCATGATTTAATACTAATACATATGTATTTATATATCTTGAGTCTTCACTGTGTGAAATGAAAAGAATGGTCCAATTCTCCCAGTTACGAGAAGCGATGGAGCATCATAACAGTTTGTACAACTATCCTGATTTCCCCAATTCATTTCCTATGTATCTTACTTCCTACAGCATAAAATATGCAAGCACATGAAAGTACCACTTCAGAGTTTTTATTTTCAACTGTTTTTTTTGCATTTCAACTGCAATATCTGACTTTTTGATTGTTCTGTTTTTAAAAAGCAAAGCTCCACTCACCTCTCTCACATGAACTCTCTGGATTAAATTCCCCTCCTTGTTATAAATTCAGAGCAAACCCCTGTTGATTTGTTTTAGATTTCCAGCACCATAAGTGGATGACAATTTTGTTCTTTTGATTATAAAATTAAAAGAAACTAAACCCAAACATTCTCTGCTCACAATAGGTATTTCAGAAATTTTCTGGGATGAAAGGAGCATTACTTTGGTAAGACCTGTGCCATAGCCTCCGTATCAGATTTCCCCATCCAGCTGTCCACAGTCCCATTAGTGCCTCTTACTATCATCAGTCTCACTCTATAATTAGAACAGCTTATGGTTTATTTGGGCCTTTTTCAACACCAGATTTCCTTCCCAGACGTAGCTGTCATTCAGATGTACATGAACAGTATCTTTCCAACTACTTGAAATTTTACATTATTTTGTGACAAACCAGGAAAAAAAGGCACTTAAATCACCAGAACAGCTCTTTCTATTAAATGATAAACACTTTACTTACCCTGGATGAGACGTTTTCATTTGGCATCTGATTCTGCTCAGACAGGCCCCAAGTGCTTTTCCTTTCCCACTGACAGTCTTTATCCACCTCTTCTGCAGGACACAAACCAGCCTGTGTTTGCAAGCCTTGTGTCTCCTCGGGGATTTGTGGGGCAACACCACCTTCCTGGCTGGGAAACACAGCGCTGGATTCCCTAACCTCTGCTGCAGCCTGAAAAGCTTGTCCCATGTTACTCACGTATCTGCAAAGCTCTTTAGGGTTTAACAACTTCAAAAGGTTTCTTCTTAGACTTTCCGCCAAGGTACAGACAGCGTGCCTTGCACTTTCTTCTGGCAAATTTCTCTCCCCCTCTTCTAGCAGCAATGAGCTTTCACCCTGCAAGTCCTTGTCCGTCCTGCTTTCTGGCATTGCCTCAGAAGCCTGACTTGCCAAAGAAGCACCTATGCCACCAGCAGAGGAGTCCGCCGTGGCACATACATTATCTGTGGTCCTTGATTTGTCAGCTGAGAAGCCTGCAGCCGAGTGGCCACTTCCATTGCTTTCTTCTTTGCTTTCTTCTTCGGTCCTGGGATCCTCATTTTCAGCGGCTGCAGATGCAACAGGCACTTTACACTTTTCTTTGTCTTTCAGGCTGGTGCTTTTATCTCGGTGGTGTCCCACGGTGAGAGTCATCTCTGTCTGCGAAGCTGACGGGCTGTGCACAGAGGGGTCTCTCCTTACATTTACTCCTTCAAATTTTGAGTGATGACCACAGAAGCCAATGGTGGTATCCATAGGCACAGTGTTATCTGACACTGGGGACAGACAAGGCATCTCACGGAGGAAGTAAGCACACCCATCACAATCCTTACCCAGTTTTAAATCATCTTCATCATCACTTTCTAATAAAAATTGTAATTTCTTTTTCCAGATTTCATTTTCGTGCACTGTCAGCACATCCGAACATTCAAAATACTCCAGATCATCATCAGAAAAGTCATCACTTACACTTGCAACTTCCTCTGCATAACTCTCCAGAACAGTGCCAGAATTCTCAGAATCACCTTTTACAGAACAGTCGTGAGTTCCTAGAGGAGTACCTGCCTGCTCCCTGAGCAGGGTATTCCTGGCTAGAGCCGTACCCAGCCCAGTCTCCTGCCACACCTGGACACCTGCCAGAGCCTGACCAGCCACAGAGTCTTCTGTGTTAAGGCAAGGGTTGTCTGCGTGGGAGGTGATTACATCTGTAGGGCAGGGGTGCAGCTGCCCACTGCATTGTTTCTCTGCTTCTCCAGCAGTGCCACTGACCAAACTGGTAAAATTAATTAGGTCATCACTGTTCTCTGACAAATCCCTTAGGCAGGAAGTATTTTCCACAGTTTCATATACATTTTTTACATTCATGTTGTCTTCCATGTTAGGCAAGTGTCTGTGGGATTTTTCAAATGGGGACAATACTGCTTTTCTGAGCTTCTCGAGCAGTAAACTGCTGATTTTTGCAGAGTCAGAATCTGGCAAAATCAACATGGGATCACTCTCACAGGGGTAACTCTTGCGTTGTGCAAAAAGTTTCTTCTCCTGCTGATTTTACCCTTAGGTCTCCCACATTGTCATCTAGGTCAACGACAAATTCTAGGGGGGTTTCATATCTGATTCCAGTGCAACAAAAGCTGAACAGCAGGTCATTCTAGCTGTCAAACTAGTCAGGTACTGTTCAATGAAGTGCAGATCTTGCTCTGTGCACCTGCAAAGAAAAGAAACCTGAAGTTTAAAATTACTTCTACAACAGCTGTGCTTATTTTCTAAAAGGTGGCCTGTTGACACGGAGTTGCAAGTGTTTTCAAAAATAGAAAAAAATCAATATTCAAAAATCAAGATCAAACATTAAAGCAATAACTATAACCCAGCTATCTCCACAACACTTCATGGCAGCATATCGTAACTGGCAGGAGGGATTTGTGCCAGGAAAACAAATTCTTAAACATGCCTGCACATACATGTAGCACCACAAAATGGGCTTTAGCACACGTCGTTTAGGTATCTCTAGATGCAAACCAGTAATCTGCAGACAATGTAAATCTTCACACGTGCCTGACTTCTGCAGGCACCTGGTGGCCACTACTGCTGTAGTCACACCAGCACAACTGTAGGACAGTCCTTGAATTGTCATCGCAGGGACCCACCTTCCAAAAATCTGTTTGTAGAAATACCTGGAACAATCAGCCTGGTTAGGTTTTACAGGGCTATTTCTGTTGTACTTGGCATTTGTAATTTCCATGGTGTGAGGATGATGAAATGAGGCTGGTTAGCTTCCACACCCAGTGCACACTGAGTTTTACTCTCACACAGCTGTGCAGTAGCCAAATGGTGTGCCAAGGCAGCACTTACACAAAACCAAAGTGAAATACACCAAAAGGCTTCTACCAGCTGAATCCAAAGAAACAGGGAATCACCTCTCTCTGCTCATAAAGAAAAAAAAAAAAATCCTAAGAATTTCCAAATCTTGGGATTTTAGAGACGTTTTTGTACACAGCTAGAGGCACTCCAGGTCATCCTTCACAGCAGGGTACCCATGCTAATTGCAGCAGCACTCTTTCACTACGCAGGGATCCACTCATCAGGGAAAGCAGCATAGCAGATCTGAATTTCAAGTAAATCTGATCTCGCCAAGGATGCCAGACTAAAACCTCTGAAAAACAGCAACCTATTTTTATTCACAGAACTGGTATGACATGAAGAGCAGCAGGAAAAACTTTCTTGCCATCCTGCTAATCCAATGAGACCATTTAAAGACACCTCTATTCATTCTCCTTTTCCTTCTCTCCGCTGCTGCCACTGTGAACTTTTTAGCTAACATCTCTCGGTGGCTGCCAGGTCTCCAGCCACTCGCAGCCCCGCCCAGCAGCCTCTCCGACGCCTCTCCAGGCACACTGTGGCTCTGTCTGCTCCCTGCAGGGCTGTGGGCAGAGAAGTCCCTAGAGCTGTCAGCACCCAGCTCCGTGTCACAGCCCGCTGCAGACGCTGATGGAAGCCAGGCAGTATGTGGGAGCTAGGTTAGGGCTGAAGGGCTAAGCAGCAAGGGGCTCGCACAGCCTGCTCGGGATCTGCCGCGCACATGAAGAGCAGGAGCAGCCAGGTGTATTTTCACTGCCTTCAGGCAAACCCTGCTGTGGACACCTTTCCCACCAAGCTACGTGGGAGGCAAAAAGCAGGAAGAGAAGGTGGTTCACGGGAAGGACACTGGAAGGGACAATGTTGGGTCACGTGACAAACAGTATGACTCCATGCACTCGAAGCACAAACTAACAACAGCAGCAGGAGCAACCAGGCAGGGACCCTCTCCCAGCATGTGCCTGGGGAGAAACCACGTCAGCCTCACCGGCTGGGCTGTGGGCACGGGGCCACAGCAGCCTTGCTGTACAGCTGCTGGCTTGGGCACCTCTGAACAGGCACCCTGGGCAAGCACAGGACCTCCAGAGTGTTGGATAAGGGGAAGGAGGGAAAGCGAGAGGGTTCCATATTTTTGATGTGAGAAGTAGGAAGGGGGAGCGGGGGGAGGCAGTGAAAGAGGCGACAGTTTTCACAATTTAGTCTTGGAATAACTTGTCAAAGGTCCAGCATACAAGGAAGTGGAGACCAATAGGGAAGGATGGTTCGAAGAGCAAGCCTGATGTGCCACAAAGAAATATAGTCAGCTTGGAGGTGTAGCCAGGAAGCAGCCAGGAGGCACAGAAGATGACAAAACTGCTTTAGAGTGGTGCAAACCACACTGGTGACAGTGGCTTGGCTAGAGCAAGAATGCCCTGCGGCAGGGAACGACAACCCACACACAGGAGGTTCCAGGTGCTTTTTAGCAGGGCCTGTTATGACAGGACAAGAGGTGTAATGGTTTGAAACCTGCTGCCCCTGGTGGGTGGAGATCTGAAACCCTAAACCAGGTACAAGCCTGAATGAAAGGGGCGTACACCTGTCCTATTCCCACTCCCCTTTTCCTGTCTTCGGGACTTCCTGCCAAAGTCTATAAAAGGGGGGAGGAAGGCACGCCTCTCTCTCTTCTTCCTCTTGCTCCTTTGACCTTCTGCCTGGGCACACGCTGCTCTGCTGCTCCCTGTGCTACACGTGGCCGTGGCCATCTTGGAGACCTGGGCCTGATCTACAGACTCTTCCCTGCCTCCATCCACGTCCAAGGATTGTGCATCCAGCTTCAATCCATCTCAATCCAGTGAGATCCAGCACTGGGGAGCCTCAGCACAGCATTTGGGTTTTGTATATTTGGAAGTTTAATCTTCCTTGCCTTGTTGTTCCTACAACCCCCCTTTTCTGTTAAACCCCTACCCTTCTTCCTTTCTGTACCCTGTTAAACCCCTTCCCTTCTTTCTTTCTGATCCCTGTTAAATAATATATTTCATCTTGTTAATTTTCAATTTGGTGCAAGGTTTTCATTACCCCTGCCTTGCTTATTTACCTCTCTATCTGGGAAACTGAGGGATAAGGGAGGTGGGACACAGTTCTGCCTTCTAACCGGGACAGAACAAGAGGCAATAGTTTGAAACTAAAAGAGGGAAATTCAGTCTAGACAGGAGTTTTTTATGCTGAGGGTGGTGGGACCCTGGCCCAGGTTGCCCTGAGAGGTGCCCTGGAACTGCTCCAGGTGAGGTCAGATGGGGCCCTGAGCAACCTGCTCCAGCTGCAGATGTGCCTGCTCCCTGCATGTGATGAGTTTTAAAGGTCCCTTCTCACCCAAACCAGTCTGTGATTGTATGATTAATCATTCAGGAGGCACAGAGCAGGAAACTGGTGTGCAGGCTTCCTCAGACCACCTACCGTTGAGCCTGAGGAGCAAGTCTAAGTCAAAATCCATAGTAACATGGGCTTCCCTGCTGAAGAGGGCAAGAAAAGGAGAATCGGCACATATTGTAGTGGTTTTAAATGATGCAGAACCCTGCTGACTGCCCCCGGGCCAGTACTCTGCACTTGCTTCACGTAGGCCTCTGAACTACACACCAGACCACGCATGCAACATGAGTCTGGAGAAGAAAGGCACCGAATCCCATTACCTTCAGCCCTTCAGAGCTCTGATCATGTTTTGCTTTCCATTTCAATTCTAAGCAATATAAATATTCAACAGGAGAAAAAGAATGGAGCAGTAGAGATTAATCTTCTCCTTATCCATTTTATTGCACTGCCATGGAATTACCCCTCAGCATCCACCCATCTCTTCTTAAATATTTATTTGCCTAATGTTCCCTGTTGCATTCTTTCAAATCTGCTTTCATCTTTGCTTTTCAGAAGACCAGATGCCTCTTTCCTCTCTTTTGGAGGGTATAAGTTATTTTAAAAGCATGGTAATTTTCACAGTTGAAAAGAGCCTTGGCAGCATTTTTTGAATGCAGATTGACTCATGAATACTCTTTATGGAAGCAGTTGCACTATGCAGTTATCGTTATCTTAGTTCAGCTGCAATTTGACACTGAGGGGAAAAGAGCTGCCAGATTTCTCAATATGAAAACTAGATTAGATTGCTGTGCTTTCTGTCAGATACAACAATGGAAACACACGAGGAAAACTGCAACAAAGGCTGGTTTTCCATCTGAGATAGAGACATTTTTTTTTAAAAAACCTGGGGAAAAAAGAGAAGATATTAACTAAAACTGTAATTTCAATTATTGAATTTAGATGGAAACTGGAAGGAGATCTGTTAGTGTAACACTCTCTCAGTGCCTCAGGAAAACTCGTGACAGAAGATGCATAATGAAATTCACTGAGAGCTGAATGAGAGGTTGTGATATTTTACCATCAGCTAGCAACTAGTAACCTGAAAATAAGCCCAATTCCTAATAAGCTGGGTTTTGAATATTTGCTGAAAAGAAGACAGGAGAACATTTATTTAAATGTGTAAGGGAGTTCTGGCTTCCTGTCTCAGGTCTTGCTCTGGAAACCAGCGATGCCACTTGCCAATCAGGTACTAGCTAATGACAGGAGGACAGTGAAGCAAAGCCACGAAGGAGAAACTAACACCACCAGGTTTGAGCAAGTAATGGGAAGAGAGGTGCCTGTTTTGGTCCTCTAATGATCTGTAAACATGTTTTCCATCTCTCACTAACCAGAACCACGGTGACTTGGGGAAGTTTTACAGTACCCCCTGAGGCAAATTAAACACACACTTATGCTTAAAACTTAAAAAAATGTTTTTTTAAAAAAAA